ATGATTGTGATTTATTGGTGAATTATGGCTGCTGCAATTCTTTTATCTTACTTATAGGCAAGTATATACGGTATCAGTGAAAATTTTTTGAAAAGAAAAAAAAAGAAGGAAATCAGACATAACAGTGATTAAGAAATGAATATTTTTTTTGTTTTCACATTTCAACTTCTGATGAGAAATATAAAACTTTGATCTTATGTCAGAGGAAAATAAATTTGACATTTATTACATCAAAGTTATTATATAGGTGGCACCTAATCTGAAAGCCAGGTTTAATTTATAAGATGATTAAAAAAACTTTTCATTTATTTTGATTTTATTTATTTTGTATTTCAAGAAAAAGCTGTCGAGCTAGACAACAGTTTTCCTGACTAGAAAACATTTATTAGCAAAATGGTTCATTGATCATCTTCCAGTATGCAGGCTAACATGTAAGCGTACACTCCCTAACATCATACAGTAATTCGTAGAAATGATGGGACATGCAGCATGCCTGATGTTTGACTCATTTGTGTCTGGCTTACTTTTTTTGACAGGTGCACAATGCACTTTCTCAATTTCACTTAAATCTAAATTTAAACCAGTTATAAGGAAGTGGCCTTTTCAAAAAGTAAATTAGTGAACATGTTTACAAACTTTCAAGGTCTTATGGAAATTTTTTTTCGATGTGAAAAAATGCTTTTCATTTTTACCACATATATTTTTGTAAAGTATTATGTAAACAGCGCCCTTTCGAAGCAGCTTTAAACAGAGTACATATCACCACAAAAGCACTTGTAAAGTGTTTTGGTTAAAATTTAATGTATAATAAATGTAATTCGTTGATAAAAATTCATAGCATGAATCCTTCTTGATTCAAACATTTTAATTTTATATTTTATTTGATCGTGCTCATTTTTTAAAAGGATTTTTTTTATCCTTCATCAACATTTTGGGAAAAAGAAGGAGCCAGATTACAGATGTGTTTGATGAAGACATAGAAGTAAATTATGTTTCTAGTATTCAGACCAAACCTAAATTATCTGAGCCAACCCCAAAAGAATTTTGTTGTTGTTGTTTTCTCTGCAGAGGTTGTTTACTTTACAGGCATAAACAATTGTGGGTTTGTGTGTTTAAATCGATCCTTATACAATGTAACATTTTTTTCAGTGTTTGGGTAATTAACCAGAATTGATTTGACAACAATTTTTATGAGGAAATGACAATGTGCTTGCTAATTATTTTGGGAGAAAAGAAGTTAGATTTCATGTTTCTTAAACAGAAAAACTTAGTTATAATGAAGTCACTGCGGGACCTATGAAATTACTTTGCTATCTCTGCATGTAATTCGTTATATCCGTATAAGGAATTTGTTAAATTTTATATCTTGGGGATCCAAGCTAACTTTGCTATATCTGTGAATTTGCAGTATTCATGTTCATACTAAATCTCAGTTTTACTGTATTAATTATATGATATAATTTAAATAATCAAATGAAAATAAAAGAAAATGTTTTTTCCACCTATCTACCCCATTTTTTCAGATATGAATAGGAAACCATTTTTAGGCCTTTTAAGATTATCAAAAAATTATAAAGAAATTAATCATTTATTAAAAAAGGAAAAATAAAAAAAAAAAAAGAAAAAGATAAGGATTTCATATTTCAAAATAAAATTCACTTGTACAGTACTTTACCACTAATCTTGACCTTATAAACCACCAGAGCACTCAATTTTTAGAGTGTGTTATTTGCACATGTATTAATAAATCTAAAAACTACAGGTGTTTTTTTTTTTTTCCAAAGTTTTATTTTATAATGATGATTTTTTACTCTATAAGATCCTGAATTATGGCTCATTAATTCATTTAACCATACTTAAGATGGGCCATGCCTTTGTGTCATGACTTCTTTCTCAGAGGCTAACAAGGTTAATTAACAGCTAAAATACAGCTGTTCATTTTGACTTGGGTTCTGACCTCTGGTAAAAAAAAAAAAATCATTGAACTTACTTTTTTCTAATCAAGTAATTTTTTTTATACAAATATATGTACTTTATTTTGAACTGAATCCCCAGGTGTTCTATCTTACCTTTATAATACAAAAAGAAGAAGAGAGTGCTTTCTTAAGATTTCAAAAATAGATCAATAATCAGTAACCTCACTTACATTTAGATAGAAATGTTAAAAAAAATTACAGAAATTTGATGGTTTATTATAAATCTTAAGATAATTTTTTTTTTGGTATAGAATTAAAGCTAAATTTATTATTTTCTGATTTACAGCTGCCATAAAATGGTTGCTTATAATAATTTTTGAAAATCCTGAATGAATTTTCATGTGGTATTTTTAGTCCAGCTTGTTTTGCTTTGAAGTGAGAAACATCTGTGTCCCAGGTTTTCACTTCTTTCCTGCAACTAGCTATCAAACAGGTGTAAACTTTAAAACTGATTCAGGCATTCTGTCCATCACTTTTTTTTCTTTTAAAAAATCATCCATACATGTATAGTATATATTTACATTCACTAAAATGTTATTTTTTTTTCTTATGAAAACTATACTTTCATTAATCAAACCACTAACAATTTACTATCTGTAAATAGAAAGAGACAGTTTTTTTAAGGTCATAAAAATAAATAATACGTAAATATAAATTAAAAAAATGTTTTCTCCTTGTTTGTTAATGCTCAATTTATGGAAACAAAGAAAGCATCTTATTGTTTTAATTCTGAGGACTTAATCTAAAATAACATGGATTTTGTTCTTTTTTTATTTGAATCTAGAATTAGTTTTCCTCTAATTTAATATATTTGGCAGCTAATATAGCCTATAATGAGATGTACGGTATATAAATTATGTTATAAATTCCGTGTTTTTGATATATTTTTTATCATTAATCAGCCACCTGTCAACCAATAACTGTGGAATATATTTTTTAATTTTGGGCAGATCAATGTTCTTGGGTATGAGCAAAATTGTTGTGGGGATTTGATTTCATGGGTAACTTGTACACTCATGATGCAGACAATTATTTGAATGAATAAATATATCAACAAAATTATTGTACATGCATACGGGGATGGAAATTTTTGAATAGGCTGTTTGATCCACAAAATCAACGAACATTAATTGGTCCCCTATTCAACAGATTCCACAGTATGTCATTTTTATAAATAGCAGTTTCATCCACTAATGTCTAATTATCATAATTATTATACAGTGAAAACTCCTTAAAGGTCTTTGGCCCTCCAAAGACCGCACACACTGTCATCCCTGGCAGGTCTTTCAATTTCAATTCCAGGGCATTTTAGCACCAAATGTAACAGGAGAGGAGAAAATGCAGCGGACCAGACCGAGATTCGAACTCGGGCGCCCTGAAACTCCAGTCAGGTCTGCTCTACCAACTGAGCTATCTGGCCACCTGGCGATCGAATCCGGCTGACCGCCACATATACATAGCAGTTTCATCCACTAATGTCTAATTATCATATATTATATATATAAACATATCTATAATAAATGAATACAGGAGTCACCCTGTATGTAAAATAATATCATTAATGGATTTTATACTGACTTTTGTATTATATGTAATAATGACATTCTTTCAAATCTGCATGGTCAAGCATACAATAAAAACTGAAACTGCATTAGATGCACTTGTATATTATTTTGATATGGCTGTATAACTTATACCGAGTTTTAAGTGATGATGTCTTACTCTCAGAATGAATTGATATATTGAATTAAGACAGAGAGTCAAATTCAAAAATCCAGTTGAATTGCTCTAAACACTTGTGTACCTCAATGCACACACATACACAAACCAAAGCTTTTTCAAGTACTAGACTTTGCCTTTTGTCATGCTTTTCATAATTATAAGGTATATTATGTGTTTTATCCCTAAGAGCTTAGGAGGATAGGTTATAAGAGGATATTACATAATCCCTGGAGACAATCACCCAAGGATTGAAGGTCATACTTAAGTAAATCCTGGTCAAAGTCAAACATTGTAAACAACATGTAACAAAACAAGAAAATAGAAAGTTAGTCCTATAAATTTCAGTTATAAATCAGCATAATTTATCTGAGAGATACAAATAGATGCAATGAAAATTAATTTTCATGTAATTAGGGGTAATCAATTGTGATGAAACTACTTGATGATTTTGACACATTTATGCTTTGATATTGCCAAATAAAAAGAGAGAGAAATTTTAAAACTATAAGATTGCATGGTTAACTGCTCACTTACATGTTGATAATCAACACTTGCATGATACCTGCATGGGTATATATATATTCATAAAAAAAAAATTGTATGTTTCATTTTGTTTTTCATCTTATATATTTGTTCTGCCTACTATATAAAATGACACAAAAATTCAATGATAGCTACTTGACTTTGACCTAGTATTATATTTTTTATAATGTTTACATTGAGGGAATTTTAACGTATCGTATATTTCATTGGACCACTTGACAGCATTGTATATAGTGTCCCAATTTAAGTCTCTTTCTCATCCACTTTAGCTGTCGTGATATTTCAAGGACAAGTTTCCTTTTTGGTATTTACGATCCACAAACTGTGTCTTTTTTTGGGATGGGCACACGTCCCATATTTTTTTTTTTTATATCTTTGAGTCTATATTTTACAAAGAATAGGGTAAAAATAGCATCATTTATCTGTTTAATCCCAGGATATACATTGGATTTAGAAGGAATCTATGATGGTGTGATTTTTATCTCATTCCTTTCCAAAAATAATCTCTTATCAAGACTTTTTTTGATACCTGAAATATATATGCCATCTTGTTATGCAATGACTGCATGCATAAACTGCATTTTCAACAGTTTCCAAGCAGAGAAAAATTATTAAACAATTCTGAATTGTAATATGCATATTCAGATCAAATGTGACCAAAAACATTAAGATTCATGATGCCATTTCTAAAAGTGTTATACATTTTTTTTATTACAATCATTATCCATTACGCTGAGATATTTTTATTGGACATTTCAGGTCTTGTCCATAAATTAGGAAACCATAACGAGGACTTTGGAATCACAGACAGCCTGGACATTACGGATGACATCCTGATTTCCTCCGCATTCTGCCTGGATACAGGACTCGGCTATATTAATGGTAAAACATGCTTACAGGGAATGTCCAAAGAATAATTATGAGTCATTTTCTGATGACTTGTACAAAAAATAATAATACGTATAGCCCTTTGGGTTAACCTAGAGTGATATTTTATACTAAACAGACTGGGATGGTTTGCTATGTAGACAGCATCAACAATGTATCTTTGTGGTATTTGGCACACATATTTATTTTTTTTTTGGTCGATTATCGTAACATATCCAGGGTCATATGTACCATTCAGAAGAAACTGACATCCTATTTTGTTCCCATCCAGAAAACCTACAGCCTCAATGGCTGACATAACAGCTCTCATCAGAAGTCTTAATTGTCACATTCCACATCTTAGGGGGATAGGGAGTCATTTCACACGTGATACATTATATGTTATGTCTCTTATTTGCTTCAACACTTTTTAAAGGCCAAATTGTTGATTCCTCCCCATTCAGTAAGGTTGAAAAAATTTAGGAATGTCTTGTATCTTAACCTTGCAAAGATGAATGAATTCAAGGTCGAGATGGTATTTTTCTGTATTTGCAAAGAAATTTTATGACATTTGAAGGGTAATAGCATCATAAAGGCATAAACAATTAAACATTTACATTGTGCTGACCATCCCATCTAAATTCAAAGTGAATTCTATTCTATCTTGTTTTAAGTCAATTTCTTCAGATATTTACCTCCCAAAAAAGAAGTTACCCAATTAGAATGTTTAAAAAATTACTGGCAGGATCGTAAGTGTACATTATACTGGCTAGCTGGAGACATGGCTCCCAAAAATTTGAAAGAACTACATTTTTGCAAGTTATTATTTTTTTTATAAATGGCCATGAATTTTGTAAGAAAAAAAGGACAGTAACTTCTGCACCAATCATATCTTAAATTCACATGAACATTACTTGTGATAAGACCTTTCAGATGCATTATGAATTCTAACCTTACAACCTTGACATTTGACCTTAATTAGATTTTGATCAACATATTGTCTGGTATTTTTGCACCAGAACATTTTAATTCAAATTTATATATGTACCCCAGTAACAGTGGTAGACAGACAAGATCAATTCACTTAAATAAGACCCCAAACCTGGGGACAACAAATCTCTAAATTTGCTTGTAATTGTGATTTTCTATTTTAGTCAGGAACTCTGATGGAGAAAAATACCTAGCCAGTCTAAATGATGGAGAAACAGATAGAATTATGTCTGTATGTTGTTCTAAAATGGCTGAGGATGCTTTTGCAGTTGTCTCAGCTGGAGTTCAACTAAAGGTGTGGATAAAAACATCAGACTCCAGGTAACTTTGATGTTTATCAAGCATTTTATGTTTTTATATAAAAGAAAAAATAACAATAATTGTCTATCTCTAAAGGTAATTGTGCTTCTTCTCTTATTTTCCTGTGGTACATGTGCATGTATACATGATTTTTAAAAAAAAAATAATGTTGATTATGAATCATTCCTCATTTGGAAAGTTCTTGAAATTAGCAATGAAACTATTACTGTGATTATAAATGCATTTCCACTTCAGAGCTTAAAGTGCAAGTAACAAATCTTTTTTTAACTTTATTTTTGAAAAAGTGACTGCCAGGTTAAATTTTGCAAATTTTGTATGTCGTCTAAGCTTTAATAAGTACTCATGCAAATTTTTGACATCATCTTAAAATAAATGTAAGAATTAAGAATTTGAACCTTGAAGCCAGTCTTATGCTGGTAGACATTTATGACACCCATTAATCTTTGTTTCAATTGCACATTTCTGATCATGCACATTTCTAAATGCTGTCTCACAAGTAAGTGTTTCAGTGTTTTAAGTTTGACTTGTGGGTTGGTCTTTGGCCCCTGGGGCACTATGTCTGCTCATTACACATGGCGCCTACCTAGCTCGTACACTTCTTCACTGACTATAGCTTCTTTGTATTTGGGAAGATGATCAAGTGGTTACATATCATCATGTGGTATTCCCAATTATATTCTATTAATATGCCTTCATTATTTTTTATTGAAATTAAGGGGAGAGAGTAGGCTTGTACAAGGACTTGACATCACAAGGGCACGATCTTTATTGTTTCTGACTGATGAGTCGCTTCCTAGTTCTCAAGCCCCAGTTGTCTTGGGAACAATAGATCTTAGGGAAATCTGAGCTATTTTAACTTCATCAGGAATTTGATTTTTATTGCTATACACTCATAAAATGATGGGCTTTGTATTTTCAGTTTAATGTGTGTATCCATCTGACCAATTTATAATATATATTTTTAAATGTGTTTAGTAGTTCAGTGTACTTTTATGTGAAATCCTGACCCTTTCTGTTAAACAGGATGTTCAATCCAATTATAAAATGATGAATTGGTTTCTGGGAGAATAATGTTTTCATTCATATGTGTCATACTTATACAGATCAATTTTTAAAGGAAGGAATCAAGTCTGTGTCGTTTGGTTAAATTAGATATTTTTACAGAACAATTTTGTTTTAGTGTATCATTGAATTACTGGGCAACTTGAATATTTTAAATGATTCTTCAGCAAAGTTAGGGAAATATGTTACTTTGTTTCTCTTACATCTGTATTTTATTATTGCCAAGAAAATTGTAGGTTAATTTATTTTGTTCATTTGGCTGTTTGCAAGTGCAGAAGGTTATACAATGTAAATCCCTACCATATGTTCAGGGTTATGGTTACATGAAAGTGTACCTTAAAAGAACGAAAAATAGAAATAAAGTCTCACCATTCGCATTTAAGCAATATGAGCTGCAACTTTGATGGCTGAATTTTCTGTTGCAAAATTATAAATAACTATTTCAGTGACAGAAAAGAGAACATTTATAAACTTCTGTTGTTCATGTTTGCATTGGAAGAACTATTTATAAGCTTTCTTTGAATCAAAATTACATACATGTCCTATACAATACTAATTTTTCTTTTGAAACAATGTAATGCTCTATTTTAGTCTTTTTGATCATTAAGGTTTTAAATTACATACAAATTAATCATAATAACAAATTTTAACAGCAAAATAAAATTTTCAAAAATGCAGCTCATATTGCTTTAAGGCTATGGTATATTATATTATAACACCATACAGTATTTTTTTCTGAACTGTACAAGATAGAAAATTCCATAGGTGATATTTCGATTACTTGTTCAAAACCAATTTTTCTTTCACTTATTCTCTGCCTAATATAAGGCATTTTTTGAGAGGGCATCGGGATAACTAACATTTAATATCACTAGCAATTTATTTTTAATAATTGGATCCTATATACATGTATGCCATAAGAATATAAATCCAATCTATAAAGATTTTTACATGGGAAAATTTGCCCAATATATTAATTTGAAAAAAATTACTTGTATTTAAAATTCTCATATGTCTTTTACCTTTTATGTGCTTGTTTGTCAAGATTAAATAAATGTTTACTACAATTTTAAAATAAACTCTATTCAAGAAATGTAAATCCTTGTCTGTATAGGTAAAGTGCATATTTATACAACACTTATACTCATTCCATGTACTTTTGCAAAATTTGAAAAAAAAAATTTTAGTTTCAATCAAGTCAAAACATTAAGATGTCAGACGTCTGTCAGAAGTTAAAATTTATTCATTAAACATTTATTTTTATTATTGAACCAGCTTTTATATCATTCTAACAGTTGATGAGTTGTCAAAGCCCTGTGAATCAGTGTTCATTCAGAGATATTCTTGAATGGTATCTAGACCCAAGTTTAGGATTAAATATGCTTTGAGTAAAAAAAAAACTTTTTTGAGGGCAATTGGTGAAATTAATTAAATTTAGTTGACATTTAATCACACAAGTTCATTTGATATAATGAAGTACGTACTACACATTTTAATAAAGTACCAGAATTTATGATATCAATTTCCTCAAACATTTGTCAAAAAAGCTTAAACTTTATTCCTTTTTCATTGATTTTCATACTTGGTCTTTTAATTATTAATCTATTCAGATATCTAATATTCTCTCAATTTAGACAACAGTTCAAGTCCCTCTTGTTGAGTGCATTTAAAATGTCATACATTGCAGTCTGAGTATATTTTAAACACAGCTATTGCAAGTCACTAGGCACTAGATGGTATTTCATTATTAAAATACACTACGAAATATAAAATGTACTGCGTCACATCATTTGAGTCAAATTATTCCATCAGCATCTGTATGAAGAACATTGATGACAAAATATAATTCAGTTTACTTGCTTGGAGAATTTTTGTACTAAGATGTGCACTAGGTGACATTTGCTACATGTGACTCATGTTTTGGAAATAACATTTAAGTGTTCTAAATTAGCAGGCACTGGTACCATATTGTGTCCTCCTTCAGACTATTGTCAATTCATTGTCATGTTCTATATCCTTAATGTATAAACTTGGTACATGCAAAACAAGATCAATCATAATCTATGTGTATTGCTTATCAAATATCTAAATTCACTTTAGATCACTGATTAATTTTAAAAGTAAACTTATAAAATTGTAAATCCCTTTAGAAACAGTATTGTAAAGAGTTTATCTATACCTGAACTTATTTTCCCTATAAATCTTCGGGAAATTCAGAAATATGAGGTTTTTCTGTGTCTTTTACAGTAACACCCAGTAGCAATGACTTTTATAGGACAAAAAATGTCTTTCTCAATTTAATTATAACACAGTTATGGCAACTGCGTATGTTTTAAAGCTATTATAAGTGTCTAGCTAGCTTTGCCAGACATTTACCGAAAATAAAGGATGTTATTTACACCTCTGGAAAGGCATTTTTTTTCTATATAAAAAATGCCATTATAAAAAAGATTGTGTGCACGTTGAACTGTTACAAGTTAACCATCTATTTTAAAACTGAAATACTGCAAAATTATATCTAGTGAGGGTCTTAATGTGAACTCTCCTTAAATAGATACATTATAAATCTGAAGACAGTACATTTTCAGCTGTATTAATTACCTTATTTATTGCATTAAGAGAATGATAAATTACATTTTTTAGGTAAAGATAATCTTTTATGTATCTAATAGCAGGAAATGAGCAATTGTTCAGACCTCATCATTTAAAGATGTGGTTACACTGTAAACTTCAGACTCAAATAAACTGATATTTCTAAGAAAATTGTTTAAAATGGCTTCCATGAAATAATATCACAAATAATGCATCTAAAATCAAAATAAAGAGAAAAACAATTTTCTGCTTGTTTATTGGCATTCCAAGTGCATATATAAAATATAGATTTCAAGATATTTTTTTTTTCAAAGTAATTAAAACAGATTGACAGATGACTTCCATGAAATAATATCACAATTAATGCATGCATATATAAAATATAGATTTAAAATCAAAATTAAGGTAGATGCAATATTTATATTTTAAAAAATACTATAAATATATGAAAGACTTTTTTCTTTTGGTATCCTTTGGTTTGTTTGTTTATGTTGAAGATATTCTTTGAAATGATGAAGATATTTGGTTTGTTCTTTGAATGAGATGAAGATATTTGGCTTATTCATATATAAAATATAGATTTGAAGACATTTGATTTGTTTTTTTTTTTCAGAAGTAATTAAAGTTATTTGGTTTGTTTGTTCTTTGAATGTGATGAAGATATTTGATTTGTTTGTTCTTTCAATGATATCCTGATGACATTTGATATCCTATGCAATATTTATATTTTAAATAATATACTATAAATATATGAAAGACTTTTCTGTCTTTTGGTATCCTTTGGTTTGTTTGTTCTTTGAATGTGATGAAGATATTTGGTTTGTTTGTTCTTTGAATATGATGAAGATATTTGGTTTGTTTGTTCTTTGAATGTGATGAAGATATTTGGTTTGTTTGTTCTTTGAATGTAATGAAGATATTTTGTTGTTTGAATTCATTGAATGTGACATGAAGATATTTGGATATTTGTTTGCTTATTCTTTGGATATTTGAATGTTTTGATGAAGATATCTGGTTTGTTTGTTCTTTGAATGTAATGAAGACATTTGGTTTGTTTGTTCTTTGAATGTGATGAAGATATTTGGTTTGTTTGTTCTTTGAATTTGTTTGATTCTTTTCTTTCAGTTTGTGTATGACTGATGATATCTTATTTTGGATATTCTGTAAATATTTGGTTTGTTTGTTCTTTGAATGTGATGAAGATATTTGGTTTGTTTGTTCTTTGAATGTGATGAAGATATTTGGTTTGTTTGTTCTTTGAATGTGATGAAGATATTTGGTTTGTTTGTTCTTTGAATGTGATGAAGATATTTGGTTTGTTCATTGAATGTGATGAAGATATTTGGTTTGTTTGTTCTTTAAATGTGATGAAGATATTTGGTTTGTTTGTTCTTTGAATGTGATGAAGACATTTGTTTTGCTTATTCTTTGAATGTGATGAAGATATTTTGTTTATATTTGAATGTCATGAAGATATTTGGTTTATCAGCTCTTTGAATGCCATAAAGGTGTTTGATTTGTTTATTCTTTGAATGCCATGATTATATATGGTTTGTTTATTCTTTGAATGTCATGAATCCCGTTATGCAGAAATTACCTCACCTCTCCAACTGTCGTTGATGTCCCTGGCATACCCAACAAACTAGAGGGTAATTCCTTATATGTTCATTTAATTCTGAAATAAAATCGTAGATGCCTAATAGGTTTTTATCACATGAGGCCTCCAATGTCAATTTTAAAAGTCCCGCCTACAGACATCAGACATTAAGGCAGACGCACTAGATTGACGTGCGTATAAGGCCTCCTTAGCTCCTGACATTTTTCTTGGCGAAATTTACATTCCGGTAGATTTATCAAGAAATAAACTCAACTAACAGTAAAAAAAAAATAAATAGAAATGGAAAATTTAGGTTAATTAAACTCCTCTCTTTTGTAAAAATACCTTATTTACTAATTTATTAATTAAGCTTCATATGTTTTTTTTTTTAAATAAATTTTATTTAAGTTATTGACCCCCTAAACAGAATATTTATTGATATATTCTTGACGTCTGTATTTAAATGACAGAAAAGATTTCCTATAACTGTAGAAGATATACGTCAGCAAAAGATGAAAAAGAACTGTTGATGTCCTTCAGAATATATACTTAGAGTAATTAAGATACTGGTGTGAGGCAAGCACTGGCGTGGTACCATTGAAGCCTACAAGAGGCGGAAAAGCCATTTTTTCTGGTTATAATGTATATTTGTAAAATGTTAATGAAATGTCAAGATTCCTTCTCAGGACTTTAATCTCCAAATAAAAGTATTATTATAAACCAAAAGGTCGTAAATAATTCAACAAATTGGTTATAATAAAAGGTCCGTATCATTCAGGGATATTTAAGACCAAAACGCAGACTTGAAAGGTAGAAATTATCTAGTCAATTCATGCTTACGCAAAAATTGTCGTAGTTTGATTAATAAGCATTTTTTCTGATTTACTGAAAATGACCAATATGCACTTGTTCTCTTTATTTCCTGTTAAAGGCATCAGAACAAATATTGACAAGAATTTATGGCTGGTGTCATAATTTTTTAACATCCCCGCTGTTTAAAAATAAACTTTCAGCAGTGGCACTGTTACAATACTTTTATCTGAAAGGTTTCAATATATTAGCAATATATGCTTTTTTTCATTGCGACAATTGATCACACACCTATTCTCTTTAGAGCAGTGAAAAGGCTTTAGCTTTATTTAGCTAAATTCTGTCATTTTCTCTAAAGGGAATAATGATGGACCAAATTAAGGAGTACTCAGTAGCATGAGAGAGAACAAGGAAACCAATTGGTTATCATGCAAAAATATAAAGATTTGAAAGACAAGCAAACGTTTGAGCGTTTGATTACTAGAAAAAGCAAGGAATCTGATTTACTTGAAACAGAAAATAGTATTTTCACACCCAGCCAGCAAACAATAAAAAACTTTTTAGTCAGTTTGTACCCCTGTTCAAATTGTGTCCTTGTGCAAGGCCTTGAAAGAGTGTTAATGCCCTAAAACACACAAACAAAAACATTCCGCTCCCAAATTATGGTCTGAAAATAACAACCATTAATTATGATCGTAAAACATAGCAAAGCCTTTTGAGACAAAAGTGATCATCTTTGAAGACGATTGGGTCGGAGCAACATCCTCTAGAGCAGACGACAATCAACCAACCGTGTCTGGTCGGCGACCCGCCCTATCTCGACTTCTGCAATTACAACTGAGAGCAATGAACAGGGGAGGTCATCAGACGCTCTCAAGGTTACCAGTCTGGCTACATGCTGTAAATCACACATTTTAAATAAGATAAGAACATTTTATTTTCGGGAGGGTGAGAAACCCGATATGTTTATGGTCACAAAATCAATGGAGCATGAAGGAACATGTACATGTAGAGTAAAAGTGGATTTCGATGCTTAACCTTCGAGTACTGACGATGATGTAACCTATCTGAACCACTCTTATACAACTGAAGACCTACATCTTTGCAATGAGATTGCAGTTTATCATTTGTCTATTCAATGTAACATCAAACATTTACTAGGTTTGTCCCTCAGGGTGAGGTGAGACGAGGAGAACATGCAAGCGGTGATGAATGGACAAAGATACTCCCGTCCTTGGGACTACCTTGCTTCATTTATTTTCCCACTTCCTCTCTCGTGCGGGCATGCTATTTTTCCGGTGTCTTTTGATGCTATACTTCTTTTTCTGGCCTTGCTCCTGATTATTGATCCGCCGGAGAACTGTTCACTAAGAAGATGGTGAACGACTTTTATGTACGTCACTATACTACAATCGAGGTGAACGATCTCGGTTTGCTTTAACACGGTTTATTACATAGGGTTACTTTTCAAGCCTCGAAATTGGTTCCTTAATACGCCATTTGATTCTCTTAAAACAGAAACAGAGAGTTACACTTGTACCATACTAATTTGCTTGTCTAGCAAGTTAATTTCTTTTAAAATTGATGTGATAAAAAATACCACACCTTTCAACATCTTTAATCATTCCTACGCAAATAGCTTGTGCTTATTGGATATGTTTGAATAATAATTATGATTTCAGTGGACCTATGTACAGATGTCAAAATCGTAAAACATGAAACCTGTTTCTATTTTTGACTCCGCTGTCAATGGAGAAGCAACTGAATTAACCCAGTTTTTCAAGAGTAAAAGTGCACGTTTGATGTAGCATGAAGGAAAAAAAAATCAGCCAATCTAATTACTGTTCTCAATTTAGATATCCCCTTTCCCCTCCATCGCTCAGGTAATGATTGAATGGCTTTTGAATTGGGTGGGTTAAGGATTCTTTTCTTGTCTACTTAGCTTAAACACACAGAAAAGAAAACATGACTTTAAAATCATAGATTTTATAAATATTGGGAAATGTAATGTGACATATTCGGAAACATATAACGAATGACTGTATTAGCCATTGGAATCGAACAGGATCCCATGATGTCACTGCCCTTGATATTAAATTAGTTATTTTTTCAAGATCGCGATTAAGCCTCGCCTTTTTGGTCGGTGACATTGCGGGAATTTGTTACAACGTGATTGCCGGCTTGTACCAAGCTAAGACAAAGGATTTTACAACCCGAACTTAAATGAACCCTGTCTATAATTAAAAGTTCCGTAGAGCTCTCTTATTCATGTTTTCTAAGCCCTCTGAATAAGCGCAGTACAAATCTAATCTAATTATATTTTTTATCTTTCATAATCCATTTCTATCAATCGGGCACAGCATAAATATTTTTTATATAATACATTCTTTGTTTACTGCAAGAATTGAAAAAAGGAGGTTATTAAGATAAAGAATGGACTGAAACACATCTAAAATTTATATGAATTATTTTAAAAGTCGGTTTAAAATGAGTTCTAGTTCATATATATGTAAAATTCGGTGATTCAGAATATAGATCTACAACCATCCCTTTATTATTTTGAGGACATGAAAAAAGATGCTGAAGTGTCAGCTGTAGGCTTATTGAGAGAGAGAGAGAGAGAGAGAGAGAGAGAGAGAGAGAAAGAGGGAGTTTATATTCTTTCAAAGAAATTGTCTTCATTTAGCCCAATTGGTACGCAGATCTTAGCCTTCCATTTATAATCACAAATCAAGGTATGACACATCGCCTTTGTATGAAAGTACAATGTAATTCCCTTTTTGTGGTTTCAAAAAGAAGAACAAAGCAAAAAAAGGTGTGCCTATACAAGGAAAATAACCTTGAGCTTTGAGGAACGACTTTGACTTGCCTTCTGATGAGGAATAACTTCGTGCAATAGACTGCATTAATTGTCTCTTTCAGAGTGTTTGGTTTTAGTGATACAATTTAGTAGACAAAAAACAAAACATTTTACATGTAGTTTTGTACTAGTGTATGAGTGTTGTAAGGGCTTTTTGCAAGGTTGTGCAGTGTATCAAATTGCTGTTTCTTGTCCATAGTCATCTAAGGGGACGCGTTATTTTTGTGCTGTTAGAGGATTTCATTGTATAATATTGCTCACGTAATCTAACTAAAACTGCAAACTAAATGTGTCAACTGTTTCAGGTATATCCATTCTGACGCCAGGCAGGTTAAGCCCTCGTATTATCCCAGGCTTACCAAACCTCCGCGGCACTCGGATGTCGAATCCGACCTGGAAAGTAGCGAATCGGGATCGGATGACACCATCGCTGACGAACCGAGTGCAGAGAGTCAATCCTGGACGTCATGGTGTACGATTCTGTAGACAGATATAACTTTACCGGTCATAAAGGAGATTGTTATTTAGCCTTGATCTGCTTCCTTATTTGGGGTTTCTATTAATGAAGGGATAAATAAACTCATCAATTTTACATTTTACAGGTGTAGGTCATTCAAGTAGCAAATTAATTTTAGAGCTGAAGCGAAACAACAGCTAAAATACAGGGAAATGGTGAATCCTTTTCTCTGATTTCAACATGGTTTGGATTCGGGAAGAATTATATAAATTTCTTTCATCCACTGTTAAATATTCATATAGGATGATCGTGGTCCTGTGTTTTCCTTAGTTTTGTCTGACTTCGCCTCCTCAAAGGACCAGGATATGGCTTTGTCGTGGGAGTGCAGTATCTGCTGCTAAACAATCCAATCCTTCCAGATTCTGTCCCGTTTAGGCAGTGCATTCAAATGTTTGTCAAACTACTTATCCCTTTTCAAAAGACAAGATATACTGTATGTGCCATTTAATCCATGCTATTGTCTCTTACGGTGTCAAGATTGCTTTAATATTAAATACGAATAACTTATCAAAATTCAGTTGTCAATTTTTATTCCCTCTCGATTTTTTGACTTTGAAATGTGATCCCACTGATGTCTCAGAGTCATGCATTTGTTAAGTGTCCTTGTATGCATTCTTAATAAATTGACACAAACACCTATAGAAAATAAATAATCTAATGGGTACTTTACAAAGTAAGTGACTACGTACATGTATAGTGGAATTAATTAAAAAAAACTACAGAAACTGAAATTGGACAAAAAGATTGCATTGCCTTAATTAGTATTTTGTTTGTAGCCTCGACCTCGTTGCGATAAGATCAAAGTATTTGACCGTGGGGGAATCACATCGGTGGCGTTGGGGTCGTATGAATTAAAGGATTGTACGAGGGATTTAAGTAATTGGTAATGTCAAAATTTCATTCATTTCTGTGATCAATAGGAATTCTATAGTAGATCCAATAATGACCTCGGTATCCGATTATCAAGGTTTCCTGTAACGATGCTCCTTAAAAACTCAGACTTGAAAAATATCGATATCTTGCAAATTATGGCGGTAATTCTACTGTGAATTGGAAAAAAAAGGAAGACTTCGTCTTTGACAAACCAATGGCAATGAAATAACTTTCAAATAATAAAAATTTGCTTTTTAAAGTGCATCACGTCATGGTAATATTGAACACAGCAAACTCGATTTAAGGCTGTAGGTGTTTAAATGACTCTCTTTTTTTTCCTCTGTGATCCCGCAAGAGATAAACAAAATTGTTTTGTTGGTCACGATAAAAGTGCAGATCTCAAAAGAAAAAACATGTTAATTTCAGTTAATTATAATGTAAAGCGTTTTGTAATTTTAAAGGACACGGATTGGCCTAGCCTATTTTTAACGTGATTAATTATTCTCTGTCTTATAAAACATCTCTTTCTTGATCTCAATTTATTTTTAACTGGCATGAAATTTCTGAAGCTTGTCTGAAAAACAAGATCTGCAGCAAGACGCAGAAAAAAATGCAACGCCTTAAAAGACAAAGAAAAGATATTCGTATATATAAAAAAAAAGTAATTAAAAAAGTATGAAAATCTGAACAAGGAAATTCATTCGATTCTGTCTTGTATCTATTTTTAATGAAGCTTCCTCCTTGACCCAGATGTGAAGGTTTACCTCGGTGTGAACGCGTTACAGTTATGACGGAAATTAATCACAAGTCAAGATGAGAGAAGACTTCTGAATCATTTAAGTTAAAACGGAAAGTACTGAATGATGATTTTTAAACTCATATATAATTTAGGAGGAAAACCAGCCATGTATAAATGTTCGATGAATGTCCTTGTATTTGCACGCACATCATCATCATCATGACTGTAAACGTGTATATAGCAATTTGAAAAATCTGGATTGTTAAGGATGTGTTCGGAATTTCAGAAGAATTGACATATAAGATAGACAATTTCCTGAAAAAGGTCACATTTTAGAATCAACGCTCGTTAGCTTTTTCACACTGTTTTGATTTGTCAAATTTGCATTTTGAACCTAAATTAGTTATTTGCAATTTTAAAAGTAAGCCTTGAAGTTGTTTGAACAACATTTTCCCCGCAATTTTGCATGTTTCTTGACCTAGAGGCCCTTTGAGGCAAGTTTAATTATAAATTTTGGTAGATAGTGATGTTACCTAAAACTGTTGCAGTCAAGTATATATGTTTTGGATTTACAACAGCAATAGAACTCGGCTAATTTCCCTACACACTAAGATATAAATATAGTATTCTGCATTCCATCTCTTAAAAATGATATCCATTGAGCTTGATACTTAACAACCGTTAGCTCCTTGGCGTACAAATTGTAATAAAACCTCCTTATGGCTCTGACCGATTTTATTTCAGCGAGGAGTGTTTTGCAGCAAAAATTCTGCAGATCATTAGACACGGAACATGATAACTGTATTAAGAAGAGGTATTGATCTCCAGGGAAGAGCTGGGAGATATATACTTCTATACACGGAAAATCGGACCGTATTGTAAGAAGTTAAGCCCACATATAAGAGCTGGTTTCCGGGTGATGTTTTTGATGAAGAGGCTACTAGAACTGTCATATAGGTCAATGGATGTTGGGTTCTAGGAGTTCGCAGAATTTTCTTAAAACAAATCACGCCTCAAGGTCCCTGATTTATATGACCGTGAATAATTACCAAACCATATGAATGCTTGTTAGACAGTTTCATTGAAATGTATCTTTTTATCTTGGAAAATCATTTAAAACTTGATCGATGCCGTTTGCATAAGGTTTATTTATTGAGACTTGTAACTATTTTCGTCTGTTATGTATTATATTGGCGGGTTTGCTGACGTCAATCTCTGAATTCGTTCTTCGGATTGATTCTGCAGACGATTATGACTTGGTGACTTCAAGATTTCTATCTTAATTAAAACCTAGAATAGATTCTAGCCATTGTTCTTGATGTACATAAATATACATATATATATTATCTATATGTGTACCGATAAAGTAAAAGAAATGGGTTAGAATACGGTTTAATTGGTACTAAAGGTTTTTGTATTGTTCCTATAATTTTTAAGAACATGATGATGCATTCTGATTAAAGTCTTGTTCATGGGTACTGCTTTGTTTGAGAATACTTTTGTGACAATGTGGTTTTTATTATCAATGTTTCTTTCTTTAACACGTAAATTTAAAAAAAAAAAAAGAAAAGCACAATTTAAGTGATATTCCTTTTCTTAACCTCTCTCACTTGTATCTAGGATTTGACTTACATTTTCTAGATGAGTGACAAGGTTAGAATTTTTTTTGGAACAGACACTTTCCATTTTATATTTAAAACTGCAATATTAATGCATGAATACTCTCCAACTTGCTAAAGAACTATATGCGGTATATTGCATATGTTTGCCCCCACAAAAGTCAAATTTTGAAAACTTCCTGAAATGTGCTGAATTCAATAAATTGTACAAGAAATATAAGTGAACAGAAAATATTATAGTTCCAGAGCAGTGTATTCACAATTTCTGTTTTTATGACGTCACAAACTAGTCCGATTTTATATCCTTTTTCAGAAAGAGGACAAAATGGACAAAATTTCAACAATTTAAGCTTTAGAATATATAGAGCGCATGTGTGTTCAGGAACAATATTGACATATTTCATTGATATTATCATTCTACACATTATATCAAAATATTAATCCTGAACACACATGCGCTCGGTGACTTTTATTTAAAATATCGACGAAATATGTACATTTTTCTGCAAAATTCATAAAAAAACTGAAATTTACGTCATATTTGTAACGTCATTACGTACATATGACGTCATTACTTATGAAATTATTCAGTCCTTTGAAGTGCATATACTGTTTAAGGACTTAATTAAATATTACTCCATCAAAGTTTGATTTTGGGGGGCAAATGTTGGTTAATACCGCATATAGTTCTTTGGCTAACATTTTCTGGATGACTGACATGTTTATAATTTTCATACAAGTCCATTTTCGAGTAACTGTGTCAGACCAAATTTGCATGAATATTGCAGATTTCGATGTACTTTACAAGATTTTTAATTTGATGTGATTCTTTGTTTAACCTAAGGCTAATTTTTGTTGAGATGAGCTTCATAATATCTTACTGCCTGTTTTTCTTTTCAGTTTATTTTGTATCATGTTAGGAGTATGATAACTTACCATTCCATAGATTCTTTACAGGGTTGTATTATACCCAGGTGATCATTCAGGCCCCGGGCCTCCAGGGTCTTGAATTCAAGAAAATCGCGCAACGCGAGTGTATAATAACCTTAACCACAACAAGAACAAATAGATAGAACAAATATTATTAATATTTGATAATTAATAAAGGCAGTCATAGATCCAGGTAGCTATAAATGCAGTGATCGTGTTGGAGCACTGTTGCTCCACAGATTCGATGACCTTGGGTCGATCATATAGAGGGCGCTTTTATGAGGCTTCTTCTTCAGTTGCCTTCTATCAGTGCCCTTTATCTTCAATCGTGCATGAAACACAGAGAGAGACAGACAGGCAAAAACTATAGTCCTTTGAATCTGTTTTGCTAAGTAAATTAAAATGAATGAGAGTGTAATTTAAAAAAAGATAAGTTTTATAATTTTTATAATAATTATGAATTATGCATATAGATTTACTTGCATATATATACTGAACGTTTTTAGATTTTCATATTTTTTCTTAATATTTTTATTATTTGTATTTAATGTATGCATATGCTGACTAATGTACGGTATTAGGGTTAAAAGGAAACAGATCTGGTGACCTAACGAAACATCACATGTAACGAATTTACCCTCCACCGGTGAAAGTTATATACAGAGGTACTGAGGTAGACAACTCCACTGTTTGATCTCAAAACATCTCTTGAACTCGTTTTGAATTTCCCATTAAAACAAGCAGGTGCCATTAAATTTAACCCGTTTAGTTGAATAATGTTCAACCTCACAAATCCTGATTTAAAAATATCCGTCTGCGTCAATTATACGAGGCTAAGAAAACAGATGAATAAAGCAAAAAGCACGATGTCGATAGGGTGTCAAAACTGTGTTAATGTATGCATAACTTTATGTACCTCTGCAGACACAGTTACCCGCAAATCTTCTTAAATTTCAGGCATATTTTCGATAGTGTATGTAGAACGCTTTTTTTCCCGACCTTAGTGTACTAGAAGTGGCTCTTTGTGAAGAAAAAAAAAGGAAAGCAAAGAGTTAGTCAATTTTTAAGAACTAGGCACATAAAAACAAATTATGAATATTCTATTCATATTAGAATAGAAATTATTATTTTAAAAATTTTTAGTCTTCAATTCAAATTTTATTGGGCTGCAAATAAAAGCTTTTTTACTCAATGAAAGGGAGTGCTGTGGTGCAGGTACATAGGAAATCAAGATCCTAATTTATAAAAGAAATTACAACTAAGTCCAAACTCTAATTTTGTGAATAACTTTCATCTATTTTCATTTTTTTTTTTAATTATGTAGAGAGATATATTTATACTTGCAATTTTTG